TAATTATACAGGGAGCCCAAATTATGATTTTGGTGAATTTTCAAAAAGATCTGTAAATTCTGTAAAAGAAAAATTATGGGATGGCCCTACCCTCAAAAATGTTTGTTAGGGTAAGCACTAACTTTGTACCAAGTTTCATGCTTTTATCACAAAACGCACAATCTTCGCACGTATCTGCTGGACTAGTTGTTATATTCTGTGCTAAACAGTGTATAGCTTTAAGAGCATCAAATGAAGACTTAAATGAGCCTGGGAACCACAGGAACTATCTGGAGCTTTTACAGTTGTTGGCGAAATATGATGAAGTCCTGAATGTGCATCTCACTTCAACTCAAATGAGGAATGCCAAATACACATCTCCTAGGGTTCAAAATGAGATAAGTGATATTTTAGCAAATGACATTGTTCTTAAAAACATCATCAACGAGATCAAGGAAGCTCGTTTTTTTTTGCTATAATCGCTGATGAAGTCACAAGCCACAATATAGAGCAGCTTTCCCTTTGTATACGCTATGTTGAGCTAAAGGCTGATGACATCCTTGAGACATTTATTTTCTTTGTGCAGCTGGAACGGATCACAGGAGAGAGAATAGTTTCGGAAATCAAGAAAACGCTTCTAGATCTCGGTCTTGAATTGCAAAACATATGCGGCCAAGGCTATGATGGAGCTAGCAACTTGTCTTCGGCTACAGTTGGAGTTCAAGCTGTAATCGAAATAGATGCACCATTAGCCACCTACGTTCACTGCAGTGGTCATTCACTTAATCTTGTGTTAAGTCATTCATGCAGTTTAACACCTGTACGCAATGTCCTTGATTTGATGAAGAATTGTTGCCGTTACCTTTTAAACAGCCCTAAGAGAAATGGGTTGTTGGAAACAGTAGTGAAAGGAGGTGTTGCAGCTGAATCAAACCGAAAAGCAAATATTGATGTATGTCGCACCAGATGGGCTCAGCGCCATATAGCGTTTAGTCATTTTTACCAAGCGTACATATACGGTGTGGAAGCGTTAGAAGTCATTAGGATCAGGCAACATGTTGACAAGTATGAGCAGTATGTTGATTAGGATGCATAAAATCGAAGCGAGGCACAGTAGATTCACAAGTCCTTAACAGACTTTGATTTCATAATTGTCTTCCTCACAGTCTATCAGTACCTATCACAATAAGGCTGGAATAACTATGTTGTTGCAAGGTAGAGCTGTGGATGTCATACGTGCATATGATGGTATGATATGGCTACGTTTGCCTTCTTATATTATCTATTTCTTCTTTGCATGGTTTACGCTTTTCATWTTTTTTTTTTTTTTTCCCCCTTCTATAGATAAATGAAACGAAGGAAGTCTATAAACAAGAGAGGGACAATGTAGATGATTGCTTCAGCAAAATCTTCAAACACTCTGAAAGAATGGCTAATCAAGTTGTGTAGAGCCAGCAATGCCGCGTATAGCAAAAACYCAAAATCACAGAAGCAACATTTCCTCAGAGACACCGCAGGAATACTACAAAATGAATATTGCCATTCCTTTCCTTGATCATATAATAAATCACTTGGACAAACAGTTTTCTGGTAAGTATACCAAATCAATTGTAACAATCAACTAGCAAAATTCAAACTGAAAATTGCAGGAGCAGATCAAGGGCGACGAGCGTTTTATTTGATACCGTTTCAGATATGAGCATCACTGCCGCCTCCCTGCTTGGACTGGTGCCATCCGTTATTTGAAAAATCGAAGTTGACTTGAAAGTGTAACTGATCTCTACTGTAATGATATGCCATCGCCTTAAGTAATCGACCAAGAGCTTAAACGTTGGAAGTTACGGTGGGCAAAACGAAGTTCGTAACAAAAATAAGAAATTATTATCAAGATTGTAAAGCGTTAGGGGGTCACGTTACATACAGCATTCTGATTGGCCGAACATGATACCAAGCTCGAAACAAATTCCCCTTCCCCGACAGACTTGGGTTTGTTGCCAATCAGAATGCAGTATGTGACGTGACCCCCTCACGCTTTACAACGGCCGTTTGAACACCATCGATCACACGCTGTAGAAGAAATCCAATATTCGACTTTAAGCCAGGATTTTTCTGGAAATATTTGGCGTGGTGGCATTCAGAACAGTGTGCTGCCCTAATTCCGGACGGTTTTATAATAAATTGCGATATCTTTACTGAAAATTATCGTTACAATAAGATATTTTGAACGGACATAGATTGTATGTATAAAATACTGTCACCAAGAATCTGGTCATTTCAGTGATGATTTCAAGCGATTTTTAAATCTTTTTCGAGGAGATCAAACTGCCATTATTCCGGACAATGGGCCCTAATTCCGGACACAAAATAAAGCAGCTTTATTCTTTACAATTTATGTATGTTTTGACCTAATTTTCAACCGATATGATAATGCTGATATTGTTTATTATTAAGAGGGGTTTGCACTAAGGGTCACCTATGAGTTGCAAAATAAATTTTTTCCAAATTTCTCAAAATTGGCATGAGTGAAGGCCTCCATGCACTGAATTCATCGCTATAAGTTTTAGTTCGATCGGAATTTTATTTCCGGCAAACGGCGCGAAAATGTGAAATTTGACGTCATTTCCGGTTTTCAAAGGCCGTTCGTGTGCACTCCTAAAAGTGCTAAAAATCACTAGATTTCGTACATATTTTACCAAATAAATTTACCAGACTAAAAGTTGATATGATAGTGACTATTTAGAGCTATTTGTCTTTAAAGCAAGATACAAATTTAATATTTTATAGATTTTTCAATTATTTGTACGTTTTCACCAGGTTTTACGTGCATCATATTCAAAAATCTGTATCGCCACTGGTACATGGCCTAGCTCAAAGCTATTGCACCAGGAGTAAAGAGGGATACCCATGGCTTAGTTTTATAAAATAAAATTTTGGGGCAATTCA